ACACACACACACACACACACACACACACACACACACACACACACACACAATTGGCTCTATTTTTCTGGGGAACCCTGATTAATACACCCACTATAGCTAGAGTGATCTCCCTGAAAAAAATCTAATAATTCTACTTTCCCACTTGAAATTTTTTATTGAGTTCCCTTTTCCTTGCAATAAACCTCAGGCCCCTTAACGTGATTTCCTTCCTGATTTGCCCCCTGCTTTCCTCTCTCTCTTACTTCTTTAAAAATCTCCCTCATTTGCTACACTCTATCCATATAATAATGTTTATATTTCCTGGAATGCTCTTTATCACCTCTCTGGGCCACCTCTCATACTGTTCCAGTTTCTTAGTCATATTCTCATGCTCTTTCCTTCATCTCATTTCTGTTCATGTTTTAGGTCTCAGCTTGCATATAATGTTTCCTAGGAATCTCTTGAAATCCCGTAAGTCTAGTTAAGGTTTCCCAGCTACTTTCCCCATGATAATACTTGCTATATATACCATAATTGCCTATTTCCCTACTTGACTTTTGTATTGGCATTGAATCTCTGAAGGCAGGAATGTGTCTATCATTTTAAATCTGGAATCAGCTTCTGTCACAGTACCTGGCATAGTCTGGGCTCTTCTTGTTAATTAAATGAATGGAAGCAGTTCATGAGATTTTAACGTTTCCTTTATTAGCTGTATTAAATCATTGAGGTTGCAAATAAATTATTTTTTCTTGATGAATTTGATAACTCTTTTGACAGAAGTCTTGCTGATGGCACTGCTCACAATATTAGATCAATATAATTGAAAAAATTAACCCCCCACCCCCCATCTAGTGGATAGATTATTTAGACACAGTGATACAATGCATGCTGCCTTACCAATGATGCCTTTCCTGTAACTATGGTTTACACCAGTGATGCTCAACTGGGGAAAATTTTGCTCCCCCGAGGACATTTGCCAATGTTTGGAGAATTTTTGATTGCTATGGCTGCGGGGTGGAGGTGGGGTGCTGCTATTCTCTAGTGAGTAGAAGCCAGGGATGCTGTTAATTATTCAACATTGAACAGTGCAGCTCCCACAACAGACTCGTCGGGTCCGAAATATCCATAAGCTGAGGTTGAGAAAACCTAGTTATATAAATTTGGAGAAAGTTTACAGAAGAGCAAGCTGTCCCATGTGATTGTCATGCTATGGTTACCTGATACCTGTGGTCTTCCCATATTACCGCATATTATCTGACCATAGAAAGAAAAACAAAGGAAGACGAACCAGGCAGCCAAATGATATGCTGTATTATTGCATGGGAGCTGTTTTGGTACTGTATTTTAACTCATTAACATTTAAAAATTGTTATGCGGCAGAAAAATAATTATGTCCTTTTAACTGTTGAAACAGAATCCATTTTTCCAAGCATACTTTTTTAAGGGCATATTGCTAAAACACCAACTGTTTTACAAGTACAGTAATCACATTGCTGTTGAGTTTATTGTGTTTTGTTAGGACACACTTTATAGTGTGGAAAATGCATTTTAAAGTAATTCTTCTGGGCATGGTTAAGGAAAAGAATAGAGGTATGCTTTATTGTAAGTGAACAATTAGCTGCATAGTGACCGCCTCTAGCAGATGAATGGTGCAGTCAGTGTAGGTGGTTTCTGGAAAGTTTGGCATCTGAGTCTTCCACTATCACTTGAAGAAATGAGGAAGATTAAGAAGGAAAATGGGAAATGGAGAAAACTTAAGGGGCTTTCGATACTTCAGTCCCTTTCAAGAGAATAATTTATTTTGTTCATGATCAGTAGTAGTTCTGTTTTGGCCTTTCATTTTTCACCTCCATCACCCTTCAAGGCACTGGTCCTTAATCTGTTTTTTATGGACCTACATGTCCACATATGGAATTTTGGACAGTTTCTGGATCACTGTAAATATATGCAAGTTTAGTGGATATGGAAATTCAAAAATTATTCTGATGTGAGCTTTTCATGCTTTATCAGATTTTCAAGGGGATCATGACTCCAAAACATTTAAGAGACAATTCTTTAGGAAATACACATATTCTGCTGCAAATGGGAGCCGGAAGTTTCTGTGGCTTTAGGAGAAAGTGTATAATGTTTAAAAGGGAGCTTCTTAATCACCAGGCAATAACTTCCCTATTTATAGACTTGGCGTGAGATATCTGGAATCTTAGATTTGTTTTGATCTTTTTATTCTATCTCTACACATGTGATCCTGGAGGGTCTCAATCTCTACACTAACAGGTGACTTCCAGGCCTCTGCTTCTCTGTTACCAAAGATGAGTTGTAACTCTCTTGATTCACCCAACTCTGCCTTCATTTAATTTTTCAGCCTTTAAAATACCTTGTTTAAATTAATATGTATTTTTCTTATGAGAGATTTAATGTAGTTTGGGATTAAATATAAGAACAATTTATACATAATAGAAATGTGCAGTGTAGCTTCATGTGTTCTTGCTACATGAGACAATTCTTGTCTGGTCTTAATTAGATCAATGGCCTTGGGCTCATTCATATGCTCCTGAAAGGGTTAAAGCTGGCCTCTTTCCATCTCCATGTGGCCAGGTGCACTGCCATCTCTCCACATCATCAGCCTGTGTGTGGAACAGAGCGGGAGGGCCTAAGTGGCTCTCATAGTTTACTTTGGAAACATGCAAATTTGCTTTCTTCTGTGATACAATTGAGCAATAACCGGACATGTACTAATCCTCAAGTTCCCCTTATTTTGAAGTTGCCAGTTGTGTCTGACTATTCTAGTTCAGTTTGAAGAGTCACGTTCACTAGACTGCCTATTGAGGGGGTGGGGTAAGGCAGAGGGACTGCTGTGTTATTAATATAATATTTTTCTACCCTCGACACATCTGTGTTCTTGAGAGAAGATGATGTGATTTAAGTTTGTACAGTCACAATCAGTGAGGGCTTCTAGACTCATACACAGACAAACTCTGATCATCAGTAATAAAAGATGGCAAACTTATGTTAAAAAAAACTGACTATGCATCCTAATGTAAGTTATATTCATTGTGAATTGGATGTACTTATTCAGTGTCATACTCAGGGAACTTTTCCCTCATATTAGGGAAAAGTTCCCGATTGTAAATCATGGATTTACAATGTTAGATCTGTGAAGAAATTGAAAAATATAAATATTAAACGATGGGGTTAGTATAGTACCATATTTTTCTCAATGCCTGTTTTAGATTTTTTTCTGGGAATATTGGAAAACCAAGTACCATATTATTTGAGGGTCTCACATGAAACTGAGAATTAAGTGTGGGTCACTAGGATGAGACCTGGATGCAATCTTTCAATTTAATTTTAATATCTTTCAGAAAATCTTTGCCTTTAAGGACCATGGTTCAGGAAACTATATGGCTCACTTAAAGTGTGAGAAAACTTTAGTGTTTAAAAGTGACTTTAGCTCTTTAGCTTAAAACAACATTGGAGCTAGGGAGAGAACTCAGTTCCACTTTTGCAGGTGAGGAAGCACTTGGGAGCAAAGCTTAACTCAGGTTATAAGTGCATTGGCATCCACTAACAAAGTGTTAAGGCTCCACATTATCCTCGTCGTTCTACTGGGCATTGCACCAAGTTGGTTAAACAAACACAATGGGAACCACACCAGATTATCTACTTAAGGCCAGAACATGCCCCTTTGACGTATAATTTACATCAATGAAAGTAGTATATCAGTAACATGTGAATATAATTAAGCGGTAGCAATAGTAATAGTACTCACAGTCCTTATTTGGGGTTAAATTGGTTTAAAACACATTCTTTCAAACTGTATTATTCTTAAACTACTTTAGCCTAAGAAAAGCCTTTTAGAAGTATTCTTATTTTCCTTTTTTTTTTTTTTTTTTTGAGACGGAGTCTTGCTCTGTCTCCAGGCTGAAGTGCAGTGGCGTGATCTTGGCTCACTGCAACCTCTGCCTCCCTGGTTCAAGCATTTCTTCCTGCCTCAGCCTCCTGAGTAGCTGGGATGACAGGCATGCACCACCACGCGCAGTTAAGTTTTGTATTTTCAGTAGAGATAGGGTTTCACCATGTTGGCCAGGATGGTTTCGATCTCCTGACCTCGTGATCCACCTGCCCCGGCCTCCCAGACTGCTGGAATTAAAGGCATAATCTTATTTTCAATGTTTTAATTTCAATGAATGTTCTAGGTACTTACTGAGTGCAGACTCTCTTTCTCTCTCTACATATATGTTTACATGCTGCATAGAAACTGGTAGCATGTGGAACTTGCTCTCTCACAAAATAAATTGAAAGACAAAATATACACTACGAAAAGCTAAGTAAAGTAGTCGTTTTAGTTTACTACTTAAGATGACAGTCTTTAAGATAAAAATGCAAGACGTGACAAAGATAGATATGCTTAGTTGTCATAGGATTTCAGAGGAGGAAGAGGCAAAGCTTCAAGCTATGGTAGAGACAATTCTATTGGTGTGGGGTGGTAGGAGTTGAGTTCACTTTAGAAGACTGTGGATTCTCAAAAAGGTGAAGTAGAGAAAAGTAGCCTTTCTAGTTTTAGAACAGCTTGAACAAAAGACATTGCACAGTGTGCTTGGAAGACAGTACAGAAAGGGGTTCAACCACGGTGAAAGTTTTTGAAGGTAATTCAGCCATGATACATTGGATATTGACTGTAGGAGACCTTAAACGACACGCTAAGTGTTTGCAGTTTAGCTTCTGTTTGACTCTGGGCCACTGAAGATTATTCAAATGTCCTGTGCCTAGTTGTGTTCTTTCAATAAACTTACACATTCCATTCTCTCCTTTTGGTATAGAAGTGTAGATCCAGAGAAAGCACACAACTCACTAAGTTAAATGAAGGTAGAACTCCAGGCTAGCAAGAAACAACAATGAAATTTATTTTTCCTAATCTAAAACTGGTTGATAGCATATCCTTTCCAGGAATGAGCTAACTATGGGTACACTGTTCTCCAGCAATCATTGTCTAAACACACCACTCCATTCACTGAGGTCTCTTGTGTGCATAGTGCTGGTTGAGGTGTTTATTTTATCCCACAGTTAACTGCACGTTGCACCTGCTATCAATCACCAATCATAGGTGTGTCTCTTAATTGCCATTTAAAGGTCTTCTGAAAGTGAAATATATATTATTTCTTCCCTTTATTTCACAGATGAAAGTCCTTGTTTAGAGCCAGAAAAGGATGCCATGAACTATTAACATTCTTTTAAGAGTTGCCTCCTAACTTGAAAGAGTCAGTAACTGTTGGTGTTGTTCAAGTTTATAATTTCACCTCAAAATAGAAGAATCAGTGTATCAATGTTTTCATAATGACAAGAACCAGATGGTCTCATTACTTAATGATATTGGAGTTTTCAAAAACAAGGAAGTAGGTTCTACAGATTATAACCTACTGAGTATAAAGTTACTTTAAGCAAAAATTCTAGAATGACTCATTTAACTGTAGTTTGTGGCTGTTTCGAAGATGAACCCTTGATCAATTTTGGCTAATATGCTGGGAACAGCTTATGCCAGACTGATCTCATAGACAGTTTTCCTATATTCAGATCTCCTTTTCTGGAATTCAGTTATTCATTTAGTAATTTTATTTTTTCAACAGGGTCTTTCTCTGTCACCCAGGCTAGAGAGTAGTGGTGTGATCATGGCTCACTGCAGCCTCAATCTTCTGGGCTCAAGCGATCCTCCTATGTTACCTCATGAGTAGCTGGGACTACAGGTGCACACCACCACACCCAGCTAACTTTTTTTTTTTTTTCAGTAGAGATGAGGCCTCGTTATGTTGTCCAGGCTGCTTTCAAGTTCCTGAATTCAAGCAATCCTCCTGCCTTGGCCTCCCAAAGTCCAGGGATTACAGGTGTGATCCACTATGCCTAGCTCATTCAGTAAATACTGCTAAGTCTACCTCTGTACCAGACACAATACTAAGATGAATATATATCATCATGCACAGCCTAGCCCCTACGTCTATGAAGCTTATGTTTTCCTATGAGCAATGCACCCAGAGAAAACTGAAAACAAACAGTAAGATCACCCTGTAGAAGTAAACACATGAAGACATTAAAAGGAATTTAAAGTGCCAGTATATTTAATGGAGGAACAAAAAAAGGGATGAGGAAAAGAATGTTGGAGATGTATATGTGTCATTGTTTAAAACACTTTTGACTTTGTGTGTTCTTTTTGGCAATGCTTGATCCAGAAGCCTACTTCCCAGATCTGTTCTTTCATCTGGAACTAAGATTCTTATTAAGAAACTGTGCCATTGAACCACCATTGGAAAACATCTCTTTTTAGGGCGTAACTTGGCACTTGCAGATTCAGGCAGAGCAACAGGATGTGACAACTTAGGACAAGAAAACAATGGTATATATTGTACTATGATAGACTTTGACATGGTAGGAGCAATTTGAAGGGGCCAAATGTAATTTGCTGAGGCACTTTTTCTCTAAGGAGTCAGCACTAATCTTCCTGAGAATCTAGTGGCATGTTCAAAGCAAGAAATGAGGACTTCAGTATTTTTTATTATTTTTTTCTTTAGTTTACTTGAAAATGTAGTAATTGGTCAAACTCTTTAGTCTCTTAATTTGTAGAAAAAGAACAGTCACAAGTTAGACCATAGTTGCAGAGTATAAATTTCAGTGGGTTAGTTATTTACCAAGGATATTAATCATCCAATGGCTTTGAAAGCAACTAGGATCTTGAGTGAAGGAGGAAAATTCATGGACGAAAAATACTATGCTAATGGTGGGAATACATAGTGACATGAAAGTACTCACTTACAGTGACTTGTTTATAGTATCCTATTTTCCAAAGTGCATGTTCCATCCCCTTCTCACTTATTTCAAAACACAGTCCTCTGTTCTGTGCTTGCCACCTCGTCATTTCCTTTGCAGATTGCCTTAGACATTCTATCTCAAGCTCCCTCAATTTTACACCATTATAATCTCTCCTGTTTTTGTTTCCTCATTCTTCATTTCGAGGAAAAAATGTCCCCTATCCTTTCTATTGTGTCTTCCATGTATTATTTAGTGCATCTGCCAGGACCCTGGTAATTTTAACTTCTGTTTTCAATGGTCTTCTTCCAGCCTGCAGGATAGGATGTGAGTGAATACTCCAAATCCTGTAAGCAAACTTTTACAAGTTACATAGCCTTGTTTCTTATTCCTTCTTTACATTATTAGTCTCCGATATTTCATCTTTCAAAAATTTCTTAGTTTTTTGCAAAAGAAATTTTAGATGGTATCATCTTACGTTTTTCATACACTTGTCAATCATTCTGTTTCATTTTTTAATTCTTTTTCCTCTTCTAATTTTCCAAATGTAGGTATTTTCCAAATCTCAGTCCCTGATTATCATCAGCCTATTTTTCCATGTTGGCAATATCAGGCACACTCAACTCTTAATCCTAAATGGATGGCTAGTGATGACATTATTGCCACACTTCGTATCTTATTGGAGATTCTATTCTACACTGGTGATTTTCTGTTGCAAAGCTCTAAATGCACCATGCTCCAAACAAAAATACAACTTCTTCCACATTTCCCTAAACCTCCTCATGTTCCTGACTCCCTCAGTTTCTGTATTCAATCACTTGCTAACTTTTCAAAAGCTTACCTTCATACCCCTCTTAAATCACCTTTTTTACCTTTTTTGGTCCATTCTTAATTAAATTTCTCCTATTTTACTAATTTTCCAAATGATCTTTCTGTCTTCTTTCCCTCCCAATTTAATTTTCACACCATTGCCAAGTTAGATTTCTAAAATTATGGCTTCACACTAAAATTTTCAATGGACTTTCCCTATATACTTGGTATAACCGAAAATGCTTAGCTTGCCATTGATGTCATCCTTTCTTGCTGCAGTAGGAGAGTATAATATCTCCTGAGTGTTCTTAGGAGAATAACCCATCAAAAATTAGGAAAACAAAATTTGAGTTGACTAGCAGTATTTGCTCTCCTTCTGGTTGTCATATTTTTGCTTTGAAATACTTTATAAAATCATTGGGTATACAATTTCTTATGGAATTGATATGAGTTTAATATAGATCTTCAGTGTTTATCAGCCTAGATTAAGGTTTTTTTTTGTTGTTGTTGTTGCCCTCAACCACAATTCCATTTTATTGCTATACTATGTAAATGCCTTTCCTTTTTACATATAAAAACAAAATATCTTGGCTCTAGTTAGGATGGTTGTCTTTATTTAAAATAAAAACTGAAGCTGATATGATCATTCTCTTTCCAGGAGAATTAACAATGATAAAAGTAATAAATGATACTTGTTTTATAATCAGATAATTTTCCCACTAGTTGGAATGAATTATGGTTTTGGTAGGTGTCCTACTGGCATCTAGAAACTGACTAATCCAAATACTAAAAAATGTTTCTAGAGGCAGCCTTCATTGCACTTTTTAATTCAAAAGCCAAGTGGCATAGAAGTCAACTAGAAAGGCAATCATTACTTCAACAGCTTTTGTATCCTCTTACCCACCAAATTTCCTAACCAGGTGAAACTAGAAATATAACCTGGAAAGGAATCCCTTTCTAAATCAAATTACATGAAGGATTTAATTCACTACACTTTTTGGTAAATGTGTTGTGTTGGAATATTTGCCTCAAGCTGTCAGTTCTTGAAAATGTACTTGTCCTAGACAAGGCTGCCGATGTCACGGTTAGGAGTTCACTTCCTGGGAGAGGTTTAGAATTGAAGCTGAGGTGTATCTGATTCAGCCCTTAGGCAGAAAAACTGGATGAAGCAGTTTTTCCCCCTTCTCTTTTACAAACTGTGTGATTTGTGCAACAGCTTTGGCTTGGCAAATAGGGAAGTGTCAGAGCTAAATCAGCTTTACTCTAAGGGCACGGTGTACCTGTGTTTCTCAACTCACTGGTGTCCAAATCCAGGACCATTTTACTTCAAGTGGAATACACACACAGAACAAACATTCTCAAGGTCAGGTATACGTGTTCTTTGTATTTCATGGGAAGAACCATTTTCCTTGTTCAGAAACAGGCAGAGAAATCATTCATGCTTCAAAACAGTAAACTCCATAAAAAAGTACTTTCAAAGAACCACTTTTTAAAAAGAAGATGTTATGCAATCGGTATTTATGGGATTTTCAAATATGTGAGAGCAAGGGGGTGGTTTTTTCTTCATGAGTGCATGGTTGGCAATCTATTATACTTGCAGGATGGCCAGATATCTAAGACATATGGAAGGGAGCAATTGAAGCAAATAACTATGTAATTCAAGCAATATTCTCTGATTTTCCTTCAATTACTTGCAGTATTTTAAGCAGCAATAGAGGTGGGGCCTGAGTTATTTGGGCTATTTCTTCCTCTTCTGTTTTTTTTTTGTGGAATAAGTAAAACTTAAGTGTCGTGCTTTTCTGTGTGTGTGTGTGTGTGTGTGTGTGTGTGTGTGTGTGTGTATGTGTGTATAAATGTATTACTGTTATTGTTATATTTTGCAGTTGGATACAGCTTTTTTTAGAGTAAATAAGATTCAGCAACTTAAAGAGGACCTGAATTGTCCAGATGCCTGTTTTGGAATGAGGAAGTGTGGATTTGCCTTTTCACTATGTCTTATGCTATTAGAGACAGATGCATAATTACAGTTGGCTGTGTTGTATACCTGCACAGGCTCAGGAAACACCCCTGGGTTCCCTGTAAGTTCTTAGACATGAATGATGCCCTATTGTTTCCTTTCAGATTGTGCCACTTCACATCTCTTACCTTCCCCCCCACAGATTTATGTAAATCATGTGTGGATAATGCATTGAAATGGTTTCCATGGAGCTGAACAAATACAGGTCATATTATAAGGAACTCTTCCTCTCTTGATGTACACAGGTGAATTTGCATATAATTTTAATTATTCAGTTTTATAAGTAGGACTGAAACCATGAACAAAGTTGAACTTTTTGTGAAGCAGACTTCCACTTTCCCTTATAAAATATATCTATATTGATACACTAAAAATTCAAACTACAAAAAACACTGTAATTTAGTAGAGAGAAAAATCAGATGGGACATCTGTTTTTAAAATACATTTTTATTATCTACTAGCTGAATGACTTTATGGTTTACTTCTCTGTGCATCAGCTTTATTAGTTTACTTTCTATTTTTTTTTGAGACTGAGTCTCACTCTGTTTTTTTTGAGAATGAATCTCAGGCTGAAATGCAGTGGCCAGGCCTAGGCTCACTACAACCTCTGCCTTCCGGGTTTAAGAGATTCTCATGCCTCAGCCTCCTGAGTAGCTGGGACTACAGGCTTGTGTCACCATGCCTGGTTAGTTTTGTATTAGATGGGGGTTTCTCCATGTTGGCCAGGCTGATCTCGAACTCCTGGTCTCAGGTGATCCACCTACCTTGGCTTCTCGAAGTGCTGGGATAATAGGTGTGAGCCACTGCACCTGGCCCATCAGCTTTAAAATTGTAAATTTACTTGTCTTTTTAAGTCTCCTGTATATCCAAGGAACTCCTCTTAATTTATTTGTGCATTAATTAATTAATTCAATAAATAAGCTTTGGATCCATATAGACATGAAATTGAATTCTGGTTCTATTTCACACAGGATTTCAGTTGGAAAAGTTAGTGAACTTCACTAAATATGTTTCTTTATGTGAAATGGAATGATTATACTACCTTACAGACTTGCTGTAATGAAGAAGGACATGTGTGACAAGGTCTGCCATATGATAGGTGCTATAGCAACTGTTTTAGGTAGTTTGGGATATGGTAACAAAATGCCATATGCTGACTGACTTATAAACAACAGAAATTTATTTCTCATAGTTTCAGAGGCTGGGAAGTCCCAAATCAAAGCACTGGCAGATTCTGTGTCCTGGTGATAGCCTGCTTTCTGTTTCAAAGACTACTGCCTTTTCACTGTAGAAGAGGAGACAGTAGTCTGAGACATCTTTTATTAGGGCACTAATTCCATTTATAAGGTTTCTGCCCTTCTGAGCTAATCACCTTCCAAAAGGTCCCACCTCTTAATATTATTACCTTGTGAGTTAGGATTTCAACATATGAATGTCTTGGGGACACACATTCAGACCATAGCAGTGGCCACGAGAAATCAACCTGCAGACCTCCAGCTACAGGGAGCATGAGTGACCAAGAACACTGGCTTCTGATATCTAAAATTTACCAGTGCATAGGCAATGAGGCTGCGCGTAGGCTGCTCCCAGCCAATGAATGACTAGGTGCAAGAGGGATACTAGGGCAGATTCATTCCTAGAACACAGCCTCTCAGCATGGTCACTTTGGCTCAAAAACATCTTGACAGCCTTATTGAACTTCCTTATGCTTCATGGCAGTCTAGGACACTTTCACCCTACCTTCCTTCTCTTTTACTTGTAGACTAGAGACTTACATTGTGATCATAAGGCTCCCTCTTCATGTTCTGTCACAAGCAATTCTCCCAATAAAATACTTACATCTTTGTGTCAGCCTCTTGGAGAACCCACATTAATGCAGATGTTCCTTGATGATAGTTGTTTTAAAAGTATGTTTATTTTTGATTCTGTGCAAAGCACTCTCTTGATTCAGTGCATGACGCAAAGTTGAATTAAACATATTTTATTATTTCAAAGAAGTGAGAGCATCCTACTGATGAGTGGTGTCATAAGGCTAAAAGAGATAATATTGAAAACTTTTACCCCTTGGAAGGGACATGCTATAAAAATTAATGATGGACAAAATAAAATTAAAGGGCATCTTTTAAAACGGTGTCATTTAGAAATGTGGCACCAGTGCATTTCTATTCTCTAATGTAACTTTGCTCTAGCATAATTCCTCAGGCAGATGTTTGACAAGAAATTATGCAAAGAAAGGTTTACAACATGGGCTTAATGTAGTCTAAAATATGCTATGTATTTTGGTAATCATAGTACTATCAGAACTAAGAGCAGGTTGCTAATGGAAAGAAGCTTTAATTAAACAGATTTCTCTCATTTATCATAACCTTGGTCCTTTATAGGGTCCTTATTTTTCTTTTTGTCAAAGTAAGTTTGAACCAGATGAGCAACAGGGTTCAATACTCTCTAAACTTCTGAGTCCAGTGGTTCCACGCCCTTTATTGATAAAGTGATGAATGGAATACTGAGACACCTTATTTTATTAAAACTTTTGTAACTGAACTGACCATCCCCGTTGCTAAACTTAGGGATGGGATTTCTGAAAGGAAATTTATCTTTCCTCTTCCTCTTCTGACTGATCCTCAACAAGTAAAGATATGTATATATGTGTATATGTATGCATGAGTATGAGTGTGTGTGTCTGTTTTGGAAGTAGGGGAAAATTTGTTTTTAGTTTGCTAGAAAAGACTCATCGAATATTGCTTTTAAATATTGGTTATATTTTACTTTTAAATAGTTATTTTATTTTATTTTTAAAAGCCTTGTAGAACACTATAACTATATGCTATTAATTTTGACCTATGATAGCAACATAAGAGAAAGGAATTTGTTACCATCAAAGTTTTATAGATTAGGATCTTAGGAAACCCAAATTTAAATGAATATTTCAGCCTCAGGAATAGATCTGACACATGCTGCTTTTCAATTTTCATTTGTCTCTACAGATATTTCCTGTAATTAAGAAAAATTGTATTAACAGGTTCAAATATTTTGTTTCTTTTCCCTTTCATTACAATTCTGTTAGATACTAGAAAAATACATTCATTAATTGCTTGACTGTGTAATATGCATACTAAAAGAGTGGGTTAATGAGAACTATCATACACGAAGTGAAATAGTTCAGTTATTTAAATAAGAGCAATGATTTTTAAACTTCTTTCTATGCATCAAGTTCAGAAATAAACTGTCAAGCAAATTCATGTTTGAGGCAGAAAGTTTCAATTTATATAACTTGCCCGGCTTTTTCTGCAACTCCAAGGTAATATTCTGCATAAAATCTGAGTTCGTTCTTGGTGCTTTTGTTGTGATGACAGTCTTTAGGACTGTGTAATCTGGAACTTGATCCTCTCAGCGTGTGCCTCCCTACCAAACTTCGCCAAACTCAAGGTCCTGGGCTATCTGCCTGCTTCTGTCCTCACTATTCTTGCAGATTCTCGTTGAGCTCTTTCACAGGATCAAATCCACACTTATTTCACACTAAATACTAAATTTTCGTACCTCTGAACTCCTGCTTTTTGTTTTTTTTTTTCTATTAAAAGACAGGATCCTGCTCTGTCATTCAGGCTGGAGTGCAGTGCTGTGATCATAGTCACCTTCAACTCCTGCGCTTAACTAATCCTCCTACCTCAACCTCCCAGGTAGCTGGGACTGTAGGTGCACACCACCATACCTGGCTAATTTTTTTTTTTTTTTTTTTTGTAGAGATGATGTCTTGCTGTGTTGTCCAGGCTGGTCTCAAACTCCTGGTTTCAAGTATTCATCCTGCCTCAGTCTCCCAAAATGATGGAATTACAGGCATGATCCATCACACCTGGTCACCTCCTCCTACTTCTGCAGGCCATGCTGCTAAATAAATATCTCCACAGAACAGATGTTTTGGTCCTGGGGACTCTCTCTCAAAAAATCATTTCTGCAAAGCTTAATTCTACTTAAATACTTCTATAATTTTTTTTTTTCCAAGGAATGTATAAAGCCAGATATACATTGAGGGTGCTGCCAGTCTAATTCTGGTATGAAATTATGCCCCTTATTCCTTAAGCCTATAGTGTTTCAGAACTTTTGTACATTCTTGGCTAGGCTCAGTGGCTCATGCCTGTAATCCCAGGACTTTGGGAGGCCGAGGTGGATGAATCACTTGAGGCCAAGAGTTCAAGATAAGCCTGGCCAACATGGTGAAACCCATTTCTACTAAACATACAAAAATTGGCCAGGCGTGCTGGTGCATGCCTTGTAATCCTAGCTACTTGGGAGGCTGAGGTGGGAGAATCACTTGAACCTGGGAGGCAGAGCTTGCAGTAAGCTGAGATCATGCCACTGCACTCTAGCCTGGGTGACAGAGCAAGGCCCTGTCTCAAAAAAATCAAAATAAAAATAAAACAAAAAAAAGTAAAAGAAAAATAACTTTTATACATTCTTTTCCTAAAGCTTTTCTATCCCCATTAAAATTTGCAATTTCCCTCTGCTTCATACCAGCAAACCTCAGATTTTTCTTCCATCAATAGGTAGGTATAAAGGTCATAAGTACAGGGCATTCCCAACTTAAGATGGTTTGACTTATAATTTTTTAACTTCATGGGAGCACAAAAGTAATGCACATTCAGTAGAGACCATACCTCTGTACTTTCAGTACCCATACAACCATTCTGTTTTTTATTTCTAGTATTCAGAAAATTATGAGATATTCAACATTGTATTATATTGATAATATAAAATAGGCTTTGGGTTTGATGACTTTGCCCAACCACAGGAAAATGTAAGTGTTCGGAGCATATTTAAAACAGTCTAAAATAAGCAATGACGGCCAGTAGGTTAGATATATAAAATGCATTTTACTTTCATGGTATTTTAAACCTATGGATGGTTTATTGGATGTCATCCTTTTGTAAGTTGAGGATCATCTGTATAGCCTTTTACATATTTTTCCATAAATATTTCTTAAACTTGTGTCAGCTGCTATTGCTTGAAATTTTGTGAGACAAGGTCAATTTCCACACAAAATTGTACTAGTCATTTTAAGTTGTTAAACAGTGCCTGGTATTCCATATAGAACCACACTTCAGGGGCTCTACTACCTGAAGGGTGAGGATCTCTTAATTGGAGAAATAAAAACTGGCAATTTGCAGACACAAACTTAACACCTTTCTCTGGACATTCACAGGTCAGCTTTTGTGATATTCTAGGGACAGAAGCTTCTACGGCCAATCATTTTAGGCAGTATTGCATATTTGAACTTTGTCCTTTTGAACTTTTCTTTGTCCTTCAGGTAGACCTGCCTTCAAACTTTGATTAGAAAAGTTGTACTTAGTGAGTTCTTCACAATTTGGGGAAAGAAATTTTTATGGGTTCTTTTAATAATATATTCCAGCAACTTAGAGAACTTACTGACCAAAAATCCTAACATCTAATTGAAGTAGCCACTGTTTTGGAAACTTATTGTTGACTCCAATTTGCCATTGATTAAATGCTGTTATTTAGATTCTTAGTTTCTTGAAAGAAGCAGCAGCATCTTTGTGTGACTGTGTGACACGCTGACACACACTAAATATATAAGTAATATCACTACTTCTATCAAATATATTGATGTGAACCAAATGAAAAGTTGAATGCTCTTGTTATAAATGTAGCTACTTAGGAAATAGGAAAATCCAGCATCTTTTTTAATAAAGGCTATGTATCTTAGTATGACAATTCTTACTCCTGGCTCTATAATAGAATCACTTAGAGTGCTTTAAAATAATAGTGATGCCCTGGTCCCACCTAGACTAATTAAATCAGAATAACTGAGGGGTGGGAGGATATGGGACTTTGTATTAGTATTAAAACTCTCCAGAAATTCTTATGTTGCAGCCATAACTGAGAACCACTACTTGGTGAAATATCAGCTTTCGAATGGTTTTCTTACGAGTAAAAGTTGGTGCTAAATAGTTCCCTGCTAGTAGATCATCTCTCAAGGAATTTTTATGAGCTCCTGGGACATTAATTCCACAAAGCACACCTTGGGATATGAAATGACTTCTGTGTATACTGCCCAAGAGCTGACTTGACTAGTTGGTTAAGCCAGTTCAGCAAACAGAAGTCTGCTTATCTCAAGAGAAGTGTTCTCTGAGCGTCAGGTTCCCAAGAATACAGTGACATCAGTTTGGACTTCAGCATGGTTGAGAGTTAGAACAAAGAGACAAGAGCAAAGAATCCATGGTTTAGCTCTTTCCCTTCATTCGTTTAACTGC